AAAAAAAAAAGGCTACCAGTCTTCATATGCCACGCCCACAGAATAATCAAGTAATCAGTCCCGAACATGCTGCGGAAGGATTCAAAGCAGAAAATCATTTCGCACATTAATAAACGCCCCGGCGCCTCCTTCTTCACCGATTTCATTGACCAGCACTTCCGTCTGTTGATATAGCCGCTCCAGAGCAGCCGATGATGATTTGCCAAGTGAAACTACACGTAGGTTAGTCGGGGATCCACTTCGCACGAATTATCGGAGTGAAGTACCTAAAATCGCCGAATTCAACTCCTCCGCAACAGCAATGCGGCCTGCAGGGTCTAGATAATGCCCGTGGACTGACTGCTTCGGATCAGGATACGCCACCAAGGAGAAAATGTCATCCAGCATCTTCTTGTTCCCTCCGCGCTCGTCATTCGGATAATCTAGGCGTAATTGCTGTCCATACTGGACGGCTTCGGTGAGGAGCTCGTTGAACTTCGCAGCGTGCTCAGGCTCTTCCGTATCCATTCCATCCGCGTTCCAGCCACCACCGTGGTGCATCTGTTCGTCAAGCTCCATCTCTTCGTCAAAAACGGCACTGCCGTCAGAAAGACCATTAGATGACTTCTCTCTCTTAGATGCAGCCCAGGAGGGCTCGTTGCATCTACGCATCATCTCCAAAAATTTCCGACATCGTAACTTGAAGTGGATATGAGGGAAGTTTTGCAGAACATTGGCGTAATAAGCATTAGTGTACTTCAGTGCCTTGTCGATATCTCCATCCAGTATCGCTGCTCGGATTTCTGCATAGAGTTAGTACAAATTATCTAGAAAGTCGGGAACGCCGCACTTTGCCGGTTGATCGCTTCAACATCTTCCTCTGCCTCATACTTCTTCAGTGGCTCCGCACGCCCATTCTGCAGTGCCGCCGATTCTGCAGCGACCTCTTCTGTAAAAGCCCGAGCCGTTTCAACATATCCGTCATGAGCTAGGAACTGTGCAACCAGTTCTTGGAGCAAGGCAGACTCGTCCAAGGGTGGCTGTAGGTTAGCGGTGCTGGTGGCACGAATCTCTGAGTGAATGGCAAATTTCTCTTTCTGTATATGATCAGTTATATTATACTGCCAACAAGATCCACGCAACACACCTTAACCATGCCATCAATGTCGAACATGAACGGATGTTGGCCAAAGTTCGCCGCCAAATGCACAGGCGGCTGTTTTTTCATACCCACCGAAGGGTAGACCTTCAGGTTTCTCAACTCCCGAAAGGCATTACCTAGCTTGTCGTTAGCTTTTCTCATTGAGACTTTTCCTGCCGAGAGGTCATTACCCAAAAATACGCCATTTTTAGTGAAAAATGCACAACCCGTCGAAAAATTGACACCGCAGCCCACGGTGTCGTTTACACCAAAGGTAGGGCCGTATTGTCTTCCTTGTCCTTGACTTTCACCGAAAAATGACTTGCCATCATCGCCATGGTACGCCCAAGATTCTTGCTCCCATCCCGGGAGACGCTCAACTGATGCTTTATTACTGGAGAATCCAATTCCGATCATTCTATTATAGTAAGTATATCTCCCAAAAGAAAGAAAAAAAGGACAGAGGAAAGGAGAGAAAAGAGGAAGACAATCATCTCCCTCTAAAAATGATGTGGACATACCCCTCCTTAGGTTTGGATAGAATCGTAATTTCAAAGTAGTAGATCCCGCACTGCGGCGGCATCGGGTTATCTGCGCGGACGGCGGCAGCTTCATGATCGTGTTTATTGATCGGGCCGGTATACCGGACCTCCAATCCCCCGCTTGTAAGCTCCAGGCCAGAATATTTATCTCCATCGTTCCACCGTGAAGGAAGTGGCATAACGTGTTCGTCATCGCTAGAGGGTTCCCTCTCGATGATATCATAGGTCATCCCACGATGAGATGGTGCTATACGCGGCAGGCTCGCTTGACTGGAGGAGGTAGAAATGGGATTCGACGTTGATGAAGAATAAATGGCATCCCGTTGGGACGCCAGTTTGGCTCGACGGGCTGCATCGAGGCGGGAGATGTACCTGGAGTTGCGCAGATATGATGGCGTAAATGAAGACGATGCAACATCGGAGAAGCTGCCGGGATTTTGGGGGAAGGGATCAGAACGAGCGAAGCTGGCGTATTTCCGGGAATAAGGAGGAAGTGTATCGCCGGACGACATCCTCCATGGGGAGTTCATCTGCATGTCTGCATCCAGGTCTGCGGATGGCCTCAGATGGCGGCCGTCGGGAGGAAATGGTGGGGGATAAGAAGTGGAGTTCGAGGTCAGCAGTTGCGAGAACGGACCACTGTTAGTTGGTGGCGAGAGGGCAGTTCCAGAAAGGACGGAAGCGTAGGATGAACGACGGGGGATGGTCGAGATGCTTGGGCCGGAATATGTGGTGGTTACAGGAGCTCCTCGAGCTCCACCGGACGGGGGAAATGGTGCATCGGCCATATTGGAGTCGTTCGTTGGATGGAGCCAAAGCCAACGGCCGGCGGGTACTTAGTGATGAGCGGGGAGGGACGACGAACATACACAACACCCTCACGCGAGCAACTTTCGAAGCTCGAATGACCGTGGCAACAGTGAAATGCGTAGCATTTGTCAACGCTTACTAGTAACTTGCTCCGTTTATCTTTTTGCGTCTTCTTTCGCTCTTTGTCTGTGTTTTTCTGGATTATGGTCTCTCGGCCACGGGTCACTTGGTTTACCGTAAACGGCAGTGGAGCACAACAACCAGAAGCCTACTAGTAGTAGTATTCGCTGTTGACTCTATAAAATATTATTCAAGACGATCTCTCAGCGGTATCGAAAATTTGGGAAAGCAATCAGATCAGTCAATCTAGGGAAGACTGGGATTCGTAGTTACAATGAAGTTGGGGAAAGACTAGAGAATGGGAATTCAGGAAACGTCTTGTGTGACGGGAAAGGAGAGGAGAGACAATAATGCCTCAGGAAGTTGTCTGATTCCGTACTACAAGGGAAAGAGTCACGGGGCCACGGGTTTCAATCTATTTGTTTAATAAGAGGGAAAAAGAACATGATGGCATGACAGGAATGTGGCTGCGGGGGAGGGAAGGGAAGGGGAGAAGCACGGGCGCCTAGAGCTTCTGGAGAAGAGTAAGGAAAAAAGTATTCATAGATACATCGGCCTCCGTGATGTATGTATTAGTACTTTATTACTACTACTGCTCTTCCGACTAAGGAGAGATGAGGGGAACCCTGGGCCTCTAGTACCACCTTCCATTTACTAGTAACCAGCTATGGTTCTACGAAAGTCGTACTCATGAGCGCACCAGTATATACGACTAGTACTATATATCCATGCAACAAGACTTCTTTGACGGTGTCCGTATATACCAGCATATTCAGTATGATTTGCTGAGACCCCCTCCTGATATGCACCCATCTCCGGCTTATGCTAGCAGCTGATCTGTCCCTCTCTGGTCAGCAATCACTCCTACAATTACCGGCCACCAAGACGGCTAGGGCTTCAGTTTAGTTCCAGACGAGATGTTACATCAAAGAATGAAAAGCCACTATCATCTCTTACATTCATTAATGAGTTAGTCAAAAGAGAAAAAAAAAAAAAAAAAAAAAAAAAAAAA